TCAGAATAGTGCAGCTAATAGCTCTGCGGAGGTTATCGATGAGCTTCTGGCTGTTGGTCAAGAGCTTAGGTTTTATAACATATCAAAAGATGTAGGGGAATCATCAAACTTGTCTAATAAAATTCTACTAGCATAGTTGAATGCATTTTGCAGGCTTGTTTTGAAGGGTAACTATTATACCCCAAAAATTTTCCTCTCATTTTATCATCATTTCTCATCACAGGGCTCTTTGAACTCAAGACCAAGCTAGGGTTTGCTCTGCTCAAGACATCTCCTTGCACTATTGACCTAAATTAGGGTTTGAGTTTGCACAAAGAATTTTGGACTTCTAATGCTCAAAGTGACTTTCATACTTCATGTTGGACTCATAAGTTTTACCATACCAAGTTTCAATCCTTGAATCAAATTTTTGCCCAGTCAATTGGACAGTTGACCTAGAAATCAACTGTATTGGGGAAAAGTCAACTGTGGCCAATTTACAGTCAAACCTCATGAATTTTGACCCAACTCAACATTATGAACTCATATGAACCATTTGGTCAAATTTGGACCATAACTCCACAAGAAATTTGATCAGATCATCAAAAGGGCAAAATGGTCATTTTTAGGGTTTTGATTGTACAAAGGCAATTTCTCACTTTTGACCTAGCCAAATGGCTAATTTGGCTCAACCATGGACTCAAGGACTCAATGTCATCATCTTTACCTATTCAACAAGTTCAAAAGATCTCAATTGCATTGGATTGATAGATGAATTTTTCAGTCAACTGATCAAAATTTGATTGTACACTGAAAAGTTAAACTTTGACTTTTTGGTCAAAATCAAGTGCCAAGGGTCATTTTTCATCAAGATGTGTCAAAATATGAAAATTGTTCATCAAGAAACCCATTTTTGCAAATTAGGGTTTAAAGTTGAAAAAATTTCATAACTTAGAATTTTTCTAAGTTATGAAATTTTCTTAATTTTCCCTAACTTTGCCCCACATTTTCACCATGATGAAATTAGATTCAAACAAAACTTCCAACACGAAAGTTGTACTCCTCCACAAAGTCTACAACTTTTATGCATAAAGTTTTCTCAAAAGAAGCTTGGATCGCAAGTTATGATTTTTGGAACAAGGGTCCCTAAAACTTTTAACTTAGTGAAATTTTGCCCTAGTTTAGGCAGGATTTTGACCTATCTTCATGGACATTTTTCACATAGTTTCACTTGGAATCTCAAGTTGCATTTCAAAGATAGATTGTAGAGAATGTTGCAAGCTTTCCAAAATGTCTAAGAACTCCTCAAACACATTTGTGGTTAGAGAGAATCGAAGGCTTGAAGTTGGAAAAAACTCACTTTTCATCCATGGCATATTCATGTTCATCCAAGTTGCAATTTCAAGTTAGCATGCTTTGCACTAGATTACAGGCCTTTAAACCACTTCACACTCAATAATTAAATGCAAATCCATCAGTCTAAGCCATTGTTTTGGTCATTTGGACATTGTACACAAAATTAAGCCCTAAGTAGAAAAAGGCACATTTCCATTTTTGCCATGATCTTGCTTTATGTCAAACCACAATCTTTGAGCATTGGTCCAGATCTTTTAGAGCTAATCAAATCCACAAATTAGAGGGGCCAAGAGCAGAGGTTACAAGGTGTTGTATAGCCTGTACAAGCTTGTTACATATCACTTCCACATTTTGCATCAAAAACAAGAAACTTGTCCAAAACATGAGAACTTGAACACCAGCCAAGAAAAACTTATGCAAACAGTTTGAACATCTTTCTCACACCCCTTTAAGCCAGAAACACGATTGTTTGAGCCTCTAAACACCCCATAGCCAGAAATTACCTTCCATTGGCAAAACAGGGCAGAACCTGCAACTTGAGTTCCATAGCTCAATTGGCTCGTGCGTTTTGCCCCAAGTTGCTTCAAACACCTTCCATTCAACTCATTCAAGCTATCCCAAACCTCAAACACCAACTGTAACTCCATTTACATAGTTTTCCATTTTCATTTTAAGCTTGTGCGGGTTGAGTTCTATAGGTTGATACAGGTACATTCAAGGTAAGCAGGCTATTGGAGAAGGTCAAGTGAAGTTCAAGCAACCTCCCAGACATCTCAAGCCTTGTTGAAAAGCTCTACATTGCCCTACACGAAGTCAGCTGAAATAGGTTTTTGTCCACTTCCTATCTCTCTATTTAGGAACATTTAGCCTTAGGTTTGTGAATAAGATGTAGTGTTCATTGTCATGAAGTTGTACATATGCTCAGTTTTCATTTATATTAAGCATGCTAAGAGAATTTCATCCATGAACATACTGAAAAAACTAGGTTAGATATTAGGGCCAGAGAAATTCTCTCTGGTCTTTGAGAGTTAAGACAAGTTATTTATATGGTTGGAATCGTCTTGAAATGCTCTACAAGTTTGATGTTATGTGTTTTTGCAATAGAGCTCGTATACAGGATCTGGTGTTTGAACAGGGCGCGCGCGTTTTCAAAATCTGAAGGTTGAAGATGAAGTTGGTTTGGGCTGGGTTTGGCCTGGCTCACTATTGACACCCCTATTTTACTTTTTGCACCCCCTGGCCCATTTTCTTGATATTTTATATTTTTGAATTTTTATTTTCATTTCTGACTTTATTTATTTATTCCCAAATATATAAAATGCTCAAAAATATTTTCATAATTTTTTCACATTTATTTTGCATTTTATTTTTATTTTTTCTAACATAAAAAGCAATTTAAATACTTTTATCTTATTTATTAAAACTTGAAAAATATATATAAATTATACTTTTATATTTTTCTTCATTTTTATCTACACTGAAAATATTTTTCTAAAATATATATATTTTATTTTGTATATATTTTATTTATTGTACATATTTGATATAATTAATATATATATATATATATATATATATATATATATATATATATATATATATATATATATATATATATATATATATATATATATATATATATATATATATATATATATATATATATATATATATATATATATATATATATATATATATATATATATATATATATATATATATATATATATATATATATATATATATATATATATATATATATATATATATATATATATATATATATATATATATATATATATATATATATATATATATATATATATATATATATATATACTCCTATTTTTTGTAGAATAAAAATATAAAATATTACACTTTTATTTTTATTATCAAATATACTTAATAAATACTTTTTCTAAATATATTTTATTTTTTCACATATACTATTTTATTTTTATTGTATATAAATAAAAAATTAATATATTTACCTTAAAGAAATTAGGGTTTTTACCCTTAACCTAATAAAATTAATCTTTTATTTATTTCTTTATTTTTACATTAAATATTTTTACATACATAAATAAACAAAAATCTTTTTTTGCATAATTCATATTGCTTGATATATTTATTTATTTTGTTTATTTAAATATTGTCCATTTATTATTTATGCATTTGAATTCAATTTGGATGTAATAGTAAATTAGGGTTTATATTTCTTGTCAAATACCCCCCATTCAAAGATTGTACCCCCACCCCCATAATCATGTTGTAATAGCTTAGACTTTTAATTCTCGCACTTTATGCTTTCAATTATGCCATGAGTAGAGATTAGGGTTTGTATGCAAAAATTCAAAATCAACAAGTAGCTTGACCTAATCAAAGACAAAAATGCATGAAAATCAATACACAATGCACACATGCACCCCTAGGGTTACAATCCACTTGTTGCCTTAAAAATGGGTCATGTTATGCATGTTGGGTACTTTGGCAAAACAAAAACAAAACAAAAGATCATAGTCCCTCGATGACACTATCTTGGTTGCTTAAACAAAATGATCTAGTCCCTCGGAAAACTTGTCAAAGATACTTAACACAATTGCTATCATGGTTTATACGATGACCCGCGTCTGTCCCGTTTAACATCCTAACACAAGATTGTTTACCAAATGCAATGGTAAAACAACACTGTCAAAAGGGTTAAAAACATTAAGAAAGATCTTTGAGTAAATTAGGGTAGATAGCTCTTAGTTACTTGATCAAAACTTGTAAAACATCCTTGCTATTTTCAAACACACTTAACAACACAATTTCAAAACAAACTTTCAAAACATTGAAATCTTTTCAAAAGACAAAAACACTTTTGTATACATTCAAACAAGAATCATTACAAAGGTTTCCACAACAATGGTCTCTTTTCAAAACATCTTTCAAAACCACACACAAAGCACCATTTCAAACAATTGAAAAGCAAAAGCAAGTGATCTAGACAAGTAACTAAGAGCTCATGGATAACCATGGATGAAAAGGGTGCTTGCACCTTCCCTTTTCATAATCTACTCCCCGAACCCAAGAAAACATCTCAAAGGTCTTTCCTATGCTTTTTGACCTTTCATTAGGATAAAATAAAAAGTCGGTGGCGGCTCTTGCTAAACCGAAACATTTGCGAACACAAACGCAAAACCCTAAGTCGGTTCTCCCACCGTATCACAGTGACAATACTAAAATAAGCGCATATGTACTTGGTTTGGTTATGGAGAGTAATGGGATCATGATTCTGGAGCTATTTGATACATCTTTGAAGTATTCAAATGCTTCTGGGAAGACCAATATGCATTTATCTGTTTCTGATATATTCATGAATTCCAATTCAATATCTTGAGATTATTTCTAGCAAGTAGAAGATGATATTCTATCATTTTTGAGGATGACATCGAAGAAAATAACTATTGTTTGTTCTCACTTTGACAAAGTTGGAGTCATAGAAAATCATTATAATGATCAATGTTCGTTTACACTTGCAAAGAAAGAAGACATAGGCCATATTCATTTACACTTGCAACCATGACATTTATATTACATTCCATAGAAAAAACTACATAAATGAAAACCTAAAACTAAGCTCCATTGATCGTCTTCGTGAACCATGCCTATGGCAACTTGCATCAAACCAATCTTCCAATACTTTTCAAAGTCCTTTCCATTTCCTTCTTCATGGCCAAAGATCTTGAACAAAAAAATTGTTATCAGTATAAACCAGTTAATTATATAAACCTGTAAAATAAATTCCTGTTGTAACAAAGTTCCAAACCTGTATTCAACAAAACACCAGTTCACAACAAAAAACCAGTTCAAATCCAAACTGACAGTTAGACTTAACCGGCCCTTCATACAATTGTCAAAATCGTTCCAGGCCTGCACCGAACTTGACTCTAAATGCGGCAACCCTGCTATGTTCACAAACACAATAAACAACTCAGTTTAACAGTCCATAATTTTGAAATCATAAAACTATAAATCAACCCTGTATTTTGTATATACCAGTCAAAATCATAAAACAATGGAAAGTAGCAGAAAATCAAGAATTAACGGCTAACAACAGAAATAGAAAAATCAGAAAAGAAGATTATGTAGCAGAATGAAGAGATGTTGACATGTTTTCTCTGAATTTTCTTTGAATCTCCTTCAATCATCATCACCTACTGCTACACATCTTCATATTCTTCGTTCCACCTTCAATGTTCATTTGCTACAGCAACAACAATTTTGTTTCAACATTCTTCCACCAATCACCATCCTCTGGCAATCTTGTTGCAAACTTCAACCTTCAACAAAAAACATGTCAACATCTCTTCATTCTGCTACAGAATCATAACACTGAAAAATGTGAAAGTAGGAAAAGAAGAAGTATAAACGGGATAGAGAAGAGTTACGAGAAGCAACAAAGAGAAGGAGCGGAACTTGATTCACTGTCGAAGCCCAAATTTCATTCTCGGGTTGGAAATCTTTGCACCACTTGCATCAAACTTCTCCAATACGCGTGAATTGGTAATGTAGTGGATTTAAGGTTTGTGACTTTTGGGTCTTTGGTTGTGTTGATTGAGGAGGAGATAGTGAAATTTAAGGCTAGATTCGTGTTTAGGGGACCGAAATAGGTAGGGTTCTTATTCATCTTGTGGTAGCTTGATGGAGGCCTCCGACGGTGAAGGCGACGTCAAATTCGTCAGGTTTTTGCAAGAAGAAGAGAGTTCATGAAAGTTGAACAGTCACATTCTAGATCTAACTTACGAAACGCGTGCGTTTCTTCTCTTGCTACTTTTTGATTATTCCAATTTAATGATATAAAATATGATACATCAAGTTTAATTAATGAGAAAATTGGGAATTGAAAGATGATTAATTTGGATTCGTCTGGGTTATTGGATCAACGAATGTGGATTGGACCGAGTTCCTCCACGCTTTGGCCCAATGAGTTTTTGAGATGTTCACAAAAAACAGGCTAATGGATTCGATTTGGATGGGCTTAGCGCCAGCTGGCTTCTGCACACCAGCCAGATCCAAATTGTACCTCCCTCATAAGCCCAATCGCGTTTTTGGAACTTTAAAACCTTGATTCAAAAAACTGCTTATAGTTCATTTGAGATGGGCCTTAGTGTCAAATTTCTACAGCACCCCCTGATTTCAGCTTACACCCTATGGGTTTTGTCTTTTAGTAATTTCTTTTAAATAATTTTGTGAATTGTGTAGATTTGTTTGAACTTTTTTTTACATGATAAATAAGTAATAAAAATCAATAAATTGTTAGATTTTTTATTTGACTTTAAGAATTAAATCTGGGTTATTTGATTATTTGAGATTTTTAATTCACCTTTGCTTGTTGAGATTTGAGTTTTATGCAGGTTTAGCGTGTGATATGCGAATGTGTTTGATATTACGATTGTGATTTATTTTCAGATCGACGATGTTTCGACGCTTATTCCGGGCATTTAATTTTTGACTATTTTATTTCCTTGGTGAAGCTTACTCAAAGTTTTTTGGGTTTCTTTGTCTTTGCTCGCGGCGCTACGAACTTTTGTTTGTTTGGTATTTTCTCTGGTTTCTCATTTCAGCATTTTATCGCTTTCTAGAGATCATGTATAGTAGGGGCATTTATCGCTTTCTAGAGATCATGTGAAGTAGGAAGCCGTAAATAAAGAGTGTGCGCTCGAAGTATCTGTTTAAAGTCCTGTAGCAGGAACCTTTTTATGTATGCTATTTGTGTTTGTTTAAAATCCTACATTTGAAATAGGTATTCTGCAAGTATGTTTACATTTGTGCCTGCATTATATTACATATGATAAGTCTTCAAAAGGAGGAAAGCGAGAAGGGTCCGTAATCGACCCCCACAGATTCTAGTTTGTGTCATCCTTAGCTCACGCTGTACGTCGATGCTTTAGAGTCGTACAGATCATGTGTATCGAATCGGTCATGTGGGGAAGGTTTTTGCAATCAAACCCCCACGCTTTGTCAGAAGTTTGCATTGGCCGATGATGACACTCTAGGATCGTTCATATTGTCTTCTATTTCCTACCTCGATCTTCTATATCTTAGTTAGGTGTTCAGTCGCTTTGGACGTCACATTTTTGTTTTACATCCTACTCCGGCTTGTTTGTCTCTGGTGATACGCTCCCCTTGACTAAAGCGTTTCGCTTCTTTTCTTTACTATTTTATGTGTGTGCTACTTTGAGCTTTCTTGTTTTATCCCTGTACATACCGTGTTCTCTTTGAATAGGAATTTGTATGCTCCCTTAGGATCACTCGATTAGAGTAGCTCTCGAGCTAGACATTAGGATAGGTATCCATGCATGCTAACATAGGGTAGAAATTTCCCTTTTTCATTCTCAACCTTAGGATTAATCATTGTATGATAACATTAGGGACAAATCTAGGTTTGTCTCTCTTAGATGTTTTTCTTCTTTTGCATCCTTGCTTTTAAGACTAAAACTCCTTTTTCTTAGCAAATGCATAAAACATCTAACAACTTTCAAATCCTTCTTCAATGTAAAAAATATCAACCAATACAAACTTTTCCGCCTTCGGGCCTTTCTTCGGAACTTGAAAAGGATGTGTTATTTTCCTAACCAATGCAATACGACGCGTAATTCCCCAAGGGTCAGGTTGCATCATGTCTACTTGCTAAGATTCGCAAATATAACATCATCCACCTTCAGACATCTTTTCTTTTGAAAACACATGTTTAGATAAGAGCATGTTATTTCCTTTCCACTACAGATGCGTGAGCCTCCAATGGTCGGGCGGTGGTAGAATGATTAAATTTAACATTGTTCATTAAAAAACACAAACAAACCAAAATATATGAGCCGAACTACGACTACTCTGATTCCTTAAAAGGGATACGTAGGGATTGGGGTAGGGCATAAGCGATCACAACTTTATTTTCCCTACATTATTTTCTTCTTTCTTTTGCATGCATTATTCCTCAATAGTATAATAAACAGTAAGCATAGATTAAACACACCCATAACATTAGAACAACAAGAGTGGATACCATAGATTACTACAGGCGTGTGGGATGCTAATACCTTCCCCTCGCATAACCGACTCCCTTACCCGATCTCTCGGTCGTTTGATCATGATTTCACCCTTCTCGGGTTTACTTGATGTTTACCTTTCCCTTCACATGTGATAAAAACATTCGATGAAGACTTCATTGATTTCATTATCTCGATGATTTATTTAGCCGATTATTTCAGCTGGAGACTTCACTGGGGAATAGATTAACCTATTGTTGGTCCATCCTGGAGTCGATCCTAGCTCTTGTTTTCTTTTCTTTGGGTGTTTATTTTATGCTTTCAGTTTATTCATTTGTACATGATTATCTGAGCATATGTATGCATTGCATTTTACCGCTTTCCATATTGGTTATCTACTGTGCTGGATTCTGGTTTTCCATGTTGGGTGGGTGTTACTATGAGGTAAAAGGCCCATTACCCAGGCTAGAGTTCACTATCTTGGAAACCTAGGAATATAGTAGAACATGACAGTTATTGGACGAAGGTCCTACCAGCGCGGTCATGTGGTCTACGCTCATATGAGGTTCAAATGGGGTTTTATCATCATCTATGGCTTGATGGTAGTGCTTTCAGGCGAACCCGTGATTTTGAGTTACCTTTGGCTTACCCTGACCTAGTCTTTACCTATGAGCGGGGAGGGAACAATCTTTACAGGTACATGTGGTGTCTATTTGTTCTGATGGTGACCGTATTATTTTGTTGGTGACCTGGTTCTTTGGTTATGTTATGGATCTTTGATCCTGATATATTCAACTTGTTCCGAGATTATACAATGGTTATTCATGGTACTTGGTTCGTTGTGTCCTAAAATTGGTGTCGAACCTTTGATCATGTGATATTTGGATTATTCAGCAGATTTATACATTAGTTATCCAGAGGATTGTACAGATGTTATTTGATTGTACATATGTTATCCTTGCTATGCTGAACATTGAACCTATGGTATTGCGCTTGCATCACAACATATTAACTTCACCAAAAAGAAATATGGAAAAAATATATGCATGAAAAAAGTTAACACGCATGTTTTGTCCATTTGCAAGGAATTCGTGCTTGTGAACATTATATTGTGTTTGTCCATTTTCTACTAGATCAAAATTAAAATTAGAAGCATGCGGGTTCCTTGAAAATGATTGAACATGACATTGCATCCACTCATTCACCTAATGCATCTTAATGCATTCATAACAGGTACTCATAGTGGGGAATTTTTATTCAGGCCTGATATTCTTTTTAGAACTACAAATCTTGACTTCTCACGACTCTACGATCCGAAAAGGCCATGGAACGACCTCGTGGGGAATTGGATGAGATGGAAAAATTAGATGGGGCTATTTATTATGGACGTACAGGTCTCGGCCCGCAATCAGAAATCCTTAAGGGGGAAAGATAACTAGTTAGAGACTCCATTGAGTTTGATTATGGAAGTTCTGAAGACAGTGTCAACATATACGCTATTGGAACAGAAGCTGTCATTCATCCCTATTATATATGATATCTTTTCAAATCGAGAGATGCTTTGTGGGTCTCACCCAGAACTTTGTGTTCCCAGATTTTCTTGCTAACAACTAGTTTCTGGTCTCCAAGTGAACCCATAGGGAAAAACTCATCAGCAAAGACAGAAGAAACCTGATAAGCATGTTGATATAATCTCTATACCTTGTATATAGTTACTTCCTCATCCTTTGGAAGCTCAGTTGATTAAAATTCGTGCTTTGGGTCATCCTCCCATAAATTTCTCTTCAGATTTTGATGCAAATGCTGGATGTGTCTCCCATTATGGGGCACCTGATTATGATATTGAAGACCACTTGGTTGGCTCCTTTTCCAAGGATCAGTCCATGTTTGACAAACCGTTTCAGACTCTTTCTCCTCAGCTGAGTTCTTCTTCTGTGTAGTAGAAGACACGGTGATGCTTCAATGATGAAGAAGTATGAGATATCGAGCTCTTGGACATCTGTTGCTGTGTAGAATAAAAATACCTCAAAAGTCAAATTCTGCATTCAGAGTTCTTTCTTCTGTGTAGTAGAAGATCCATTGGTATGGTTGCTGGAATTTGCTTCTATGTAATAGAAGATGGTGCTTCTTTTGTGTAGTAGGAGATGCTCCGAAGCTCAGTGGCTAATTTCTCTTCTGTGTAGTAGAAGATGGTTGGCATTTCTTCCCTGTGGTAGAAGATACTTGGTGATGCAGTTTATGCAAATTTGCTTGATAAAGAATTCATCACATATGTTGAAGGAAATCAAATTTGATTACTATACTGGGGGCACCTGGCCATTCAACTGGAGGTTGTAAACCATTCAAAAAAAAGGTGCAAGACCCGCTTGATGAAAAGGCTATCAATTTTGGGCCAGCCAGTCAGATTTGAAGTCTCCTTTGACCCAGTGAATGTCAAGACTACCAAATCATCATATGAAGCAACAAGTCCATACGGAGACTAGTCTTCTCAACATGGCAATTTCAAATCACATTTGTATTCTCATTTTTAATCTTTCTAGTTTGGTTCAGTACTTTCTTGTATGCAAAACTTGCATATTTTTTAATATTAATCATAATGCATTGAATATGTTTGTCTTGAATTAATCCATTCGTATTCACT